ATAATCCGTAGGGATAGGAATTTCTGTTTATCAAGACATACTTTAAGGGTTTCTCTGGTGCCTCAGCAGTGAAGAATCAGCCTGCAATTCAGGAGGTGCAGGAGAAGTGGGTTTGATCCCTGTGCCAGGAAGATCCCCTGGAAGACAGCATGGCAACCCACTCCAGGGTTTTTGCCTGGAGAATCCCGTGGACAGAGGAGCCTGGCAGGCTACGGTCCACGGGGTCTCGGAGTCAGACACGACGGAACAATTAAACCCAAGCATGAAGACATACTTCAAAATTCAATAACTAGAAGGCCGAAGTGTTGGTACAAGAACAGTCCACTCATGTAAAGAAACAGAATAAAGTGCAGAAATAAGCCTGATTATTAAAACATTCATCCTTCTAATAAATATTTCCTGAATACATCTTACATATCAGCACTGTTCTTTGTGCAGGTGACATAAGGGGAAAGAAAATCGGTAATACCCCTGCTTGCTCGTAAGCTATAGTCCAGTGAAGGAGACAATGAATGAGAGAGTCCTTTTGTATCAATAACAGGGCACATGGCTACAGATGCCTCTCAGACCAGGATGGCAGCAGCGGAGGTGGTGAGCGGTCAGATTCTGGATAGATTTTAGGGTACATATTAGGACTTGCTCTCTGATGTTGATGTAGGACATGCAGAGAGGAAGCGAGAATGAGGCCGAGGTCATGGCCTGAGATGGGGCAGATCTGGGGGGAGCAGGAGGAAGGGACGACGTGAGTTGCCCCTGGTCCCTCAGGTGGAAATGCTGACCAGACCTCCAAGAGGGGGCGTCCAACAGGCAGCTGGGTGTGTGGGGGTAGAATCTGGGGAGAGATATTTAATTTGGATGTCAGTCAGCAAATAAATGGATTGACGCCTGGAACCTGGATGAGATCACCTGGAGGGTGCGAACAGATCTGAGGGCAGAGCCGGGCCTCCGGCAGAATCAGTCGAGAGGATGAGGGGTAACGGGAGGACCCTGGGAAGGCGCAGCGCGTGCACTGGGAGCCTGGGGACTGGAGGGGAGGTGTCCTGGGAGAGGGGGAAGGATCCCAGGAGGAGGGCGTGGCCCACCCTGCCGGCAGGAGAGTCCAGCCACAGGATTCCACGTGGTGTTCATGGTCTGAACTGGAGCACGCTCAGGGCAGCCGCAGCCCGCAGGAGAGCGGGGAGGGGGGTGAAAACCACAGCAGGGGGCTAGCTCACGCATCACGCTTCATTTCTTTCATTGACCAAAAAAGAGCTGAGAGCAAATACGGTTAAAATTGCACGCACTTATTCCCATTAAGTCCGGTACATACGAAACTTTAAGTTGTGAACTTTCAAAGATGCAAATGTGCTCTCCAGCAACGTCAGGCATGAGTGACATCGTAGCTTGCCCTCTGTCTCCTCTTGCTTACCACCCCTCAGCTCTAGCATCTCCTGCCTCCTCTCCCCCCTCCTCCCTCCTCGTGCCTGTTAACGCTATGCCGGCCCCTAAACGCCAGCCGTGGCACTGCGCTACTGTACGGCTGAAAAATGTTTGCTTCGTTTTGCGTTTGTTTTGCATGTATTGTTTGTGTGAAAAGTATCATAACCCTTTTGCAATACAGCACTATAGAGCCGATTGTGTTCGTTGGGCACCTAGGCTCACTTTGTTGGACTTAGGAACCAGCTGGACTTTTGAACAAGCTCTCAGCAAGGAACTCATTCGTATGTCGGGGACTTACCGCGTTTAATCTTGGGTATTAAGCATGAGTGTTTACTATTTCCCCGATTTTCCTATATATAAAACATTGTATAAAAAAGAAAAGCCATTCGTAAGTAAATACTTAAAACATACCTGTTTGCAGTGCAGCTGAAAGTAACACAGCATTGTGAATCAACTATAGTCCAAGATAAAATTTAAAAAAGTTTTTTAAGTTTTTTTAAAGGGGTAGAAAAGAATCATGAATTTTTCTCTCCATGCTATTTAGGGATATAATAGGGATATAATAGAATATTTTCCAAAAACTTCTACACAAAGTATTTTCAGAATGATGCTCAGGAAACCGGTAAGTGGCTGTCACTGGTAGGCAGGCCTGCCTTATGAATTCTGCTTCCTTTAAAAATTATCTCAAATTATGCTTTATAATTAATTGCCTTGGTAAAATGAAAAAAATGACCTGGGCTGGACTCATTATTATGTGTTTACTTTTTTCTTCTGATTATAAAAGAAATTATAATTAAAATATTTCTGGATCTTGAGTCCCCAAAACCCTGGTCCTGCGCAGCTGAGCCCATGGGGACCTCAGCCGTGAATGCCAGGCAGGGGTCTGAGCATCAGGGTGGGAAGGAGACTTCCTTTTCCTGTGATATCTTTTGTTTTATTGAATTTTTGAAATCATGTATATTTATCTTTTTTTGAAAAGGAGGCAAAACCTACACAGGAATAAGTAAAAGATTAAGTAACCTACTAGGAGATTGCATGAGGGTGGAAAGAGAGAATTCACTGCTGGGTCACTGTGAATAGCCAGTAATCAGGAAAGGAGGCTCAGTCACATGGTCATCAGGGAAATGCAACTCACACAAGAAAAAGGTAAAAATGAAAAGTCCTGGAGTGTTGCCAAGCTGCTGCTGCTAAGTCGCTTCAGTCGTGTCCAACTCTGTGCGACCCCGTAGACGGCAGCCCACCAGGCTCCCCCGTCCCTGGGATTCTCCAGGCAAGAGCACTGGAGTGGGTTGCTGTTTCCTCTCCAATGCATGAAAGTGAAAAGTGAAAGTGAAGTCGCTCAGTTGTGTCCAACTTTTAGCGACCCCATGGACTATAGCCTACCAGGCTCCTCTGTCCATGGGATTTTCCAGGCAAGAGCACTGGAGTAGGCTGCCACTGCCTTCTCCAATAGAGTGCTGCCAAGGGCGTGAGGCAGTGGTCTCTCTCACAATGAGATGGGGGCGGTAATTGGTTTAGTCTTTCAGCAGAAGAGTTTATTTGTGTTTATCACACATAATATGTAAATACCTTTGACTGGCATGTTTATTCCAAGATATCGAACATATAGAAATACTCTCAGGTATCAAAAAAGAAGGCATGACATGCATGTTCTTTCTCTCAAATAATGAAAAATTAGAAATAACCTTAATAGGGGAATTGATAAACTACAAACTGTGAAAAAGTTTTAATAGTCATTAAAAGAATAAAACAAATTGACATGCAGCAACATAGAATGTCTATTCTATCTTTGTATGAAAAAGTTCTCTGGAGCTGATGAAGGATGGGGTGAGGAAAGGGGTTTTTAGTCTATACTTTGTGGGCTTTCATAGTGATCAATTTGATTATAGAAAGAACATGTTTACACAATACTTACATAATTTTAAACACTTTAAAAAATTCAGGTAGCTCATTCAAATTTAGAGTTAAATTAGTTAAAATATGAAGTCGATGCCAAGTGAGGCTGGAGACAGCTCTTGCCAACCTGGCCAAAAGGGCTGGGGGACTGGGAGAGGCTGGAGTTAGGGGGGCCCGGGGACATCATTTGGGATGATGGACCTTCAGGGTTTCAGAGCTAGGAAGGCCCCGGGGTGCTGGGCCTGCACACGCAGGCCACCCCCCAGCTGGGAGGAGGGAAGGCTACCTCCCACCCCTCCCAGGAGGGCAGCCTGCAGGGCGGGAGGGGAGCAGCCGAGTGCAGGGCCAGGCCGACCTGGGGCGCTGGTGTCTGGTGACCAAGGGAAGGCCTGGCTTTCCCAGGACCACGTGTGTTCTTGAGGCCTGATGGTGACTTGAGCAGGGTCAGTGTCAGGATACCTGTGTGGGGTGAGCGAGCGAGGGCAGGGCACCCAGCAATGCACACCCAAATGGGCCGGAGGGCAGAGGGGGGAGGTGGAAGGGAACCCCGGGGTAGGTGGTCCTCTAAGACCCACCACTTCCCCAGTCCTGAAAGCAGCGATGTCCTGTCCTGATGCCCCAAGGGCGCAATCTGTGTCTAGAGTCCCCGCTTCACAGGACTCTGCCCCACGGAGGCAGCTGAAACTTGCCTTCACGCCACCAACCCCAGAAGCCCTTAGCCAAGCTGGCCTCTGACCCTGGGGCCCTATTCAGCTGATGCTCCCACGAGGTCAGGAGCTGAGGCCGGCAGCCAAGACACTGAATCCCCTCCACTTCCAGCTAAGTCTCAGTTTCCTTATCTGTAAGCTGGAGTTCATAGAAGCTACCAGGAAGGCTGGAGGGACTGGGCAGGTCCATATAAGCAGAGAGAGAGAGCTGAGAACGTGGCTGCCAAGGCCTGGTTCCTAACACAGATGCAGGGGTTTGCACAGGTGACCCTGTGGCAGCATCCTTGTCCTTGCATCGGGTGGCCGGTGGAGAGGAGCCCGTGCAGGTGTGGGTATGAACAGAGAACAGAGACCTCCGAGCATGACTCTGGTGTGTCCTCCTCGCAGAGCAGGCTTAGACTGGGGAGCAAGGACCTTGGGACCCTCCTCCGAGGCTCCTGATGTTGCCCATGGGGGAATGGGGCCAAGGTTACCCAGGAAGGTGAAATCACAAACCCGCAGGTCTTTCCGGCCCAGACTCCAGCTTCTGGCAACCTCAGCGGGTCCGTTTTCTGGCTTCTGTTAAACTCTAACCTTGTACTGACTTAATAGTCAAATTGAGGCCCTGGGGCAGAGTCTAGGGTCCCACTGCCCCCGCTCAAAGAGAAATTGAAGTTACTGGAAAATGACTGTAGGACAAATGAGAAGGACAAATACTTTTAACTAACTGGAAAGACTCTCACCATAAATAGATAGCGCCAAACTGGCAAACTGTGGATGGTGTTCTGGATGTTTCCATGTCTGGATGAATGGCTATGTGATTTCCAGACACCTCCCCCAGGGCTCCCCTGCATCTGAGGGGGCGGCGATCACAGGGTGATTGCCCCCCACTTTGCATAGCGACCCTGGGGTGGGAGGTGCACGCGCCCCCACCACCGTCGTAAATCTGACTCGGACTTTCCTGCTCTTGGCTCCCCACTCCCTTCCTGCCTTCCTCACCTGCGGATGACAGCCTCACCCCAGGAAGCTGGTCCTCACTGTGCCAGCCTGGGGGCCTGGAAATCCAAGTCAACCGCTTAGGGCCCATCTCCCTCTCCCCGGCCACCAGCATGCCGGAGGGCCCCGTGCTGGGCTGCACACACCGCTTTCGGACCGTCTCTGCATCTATCCCCTTTCCTAGGGGACAAAAGGGGCTCCAAGGGGTAGAGTCTGTTGAATAATCCTCCCCAAATATGTCCAAGTCCTATTCCTCAGTACCTGGGAGTGTGACCTTCTTTGGAAACCAGCCTTTGCCATTTTAATAACGTAAAGACATGCATATACATGAGGAGGGCATGGCAACCCACTCCAGCATTCTTGCCTGGAGAAGCCCCATGGACAGAGAAGCCTGGAGGGCTGCAGTCCATGGGGTCGAAAGAGTCAGACGCGACTGAGCGACTCTGCACATAGCACATGCATATGTGTGGCTAGTCCCTTTGCTCTTCACCTGAAGTTACCACAACACTGTTAATCAGCTATATCCCGATCCACAATGCTTTGATATTTTTTAAAAAATTAAAATTAAAAAACAAAAAGATCTCAAGGTGAAATGATCCTGAATTTAGGGCAGGTCCTATGTTTAGGGGAGAGGAGGGGCAATTTGAGACCCAGACGCAGAGGAGACGCAGGCAGATGGAGGCCATGTGATGACAGAGTTATACAGACCAGAGTTGAGGGTCGGGGGTTGCCAGCAGCCCCTGTAACCTGGCAGAAAGGGACAGATGCTCCCTCCGAGCCTCCGGAAATAAGCACCCCTGCCAGAACCTTGACTGTGGACTCCGGCTTCCAGAACTGTGAGGATCAGAGCCTGTCATTGGAGGCCAGCTGGTTCTTGGTTCTTTGCAGAGGGGCCTTAGGAAGCTCGTGCGGAAAATCAGCGACTTGGTGGCCCAGGGTCAATCAGCTCAGAGGGTCAGGACACGGATAGAGGTCTGCTTGAGAGAGAGACCTGCTCTGGACACCTGGGCTTCATCTGAGGGCATTTCTTCCAGAAGGTCTCCCCGGTGGCTCAGACTGTAAAGGATCTGCCTGCACTGCAGGAAACCCAGGTTCAATCCCTGGGTTGGGAAGATCCCCTGGAGGAGGAAAAGGCAACCCACTCCAGTACTCTTGCCTGGAGAATCCCCTGGACAGAGGAGTCTGGCGGGCTACAGTCCACGGGGTCGCAAAGAATCGGACCCAGCTGAGTGACTAGCATGTCACGCACATTCCAGAAGGATGTTTCGAGTGTGTGTGTGTGTGTGTGTGTGTAGGAAGAAGCCCGGCCTTTTCCACCCAGGGCTACAACAGCCAAGAAGGGATGGGGCCCTGCTAGGTGGGCTGCACCATCTTGAGGTCCTCCTCCCTCTGGGGGTCTTCTGGGTCTCGTCAGCAGTCCAGAAGCCTCCCCTCCTCAGCCTTGGCCACAGCGCTGATTTCTGCACAGGAGGCCCCTGGCAGGGGGCGGGGGGTTGGTAGCCCTCTCTAAGCTAGTGGGCGCCTCTGGAGGGCCTTGGCAGGGTGCCCACGGGGGCCACGTCTCTCCCCGCAGGCCGCTTTCATCAGTCTCATCAGAGCTGTCCCAGTCTGGATGGGGTGGTCAAGTCAGAGGCTGGGTGCAAACCCCTGTCTGGGGGCCATGAGGTCAGGTCGGCTAGGCAGGCGCCCTGCCCAGAGGTGTGAGGACCCAGAAGCTGTTTAAGCCTCTGGGAATGCCTCCCTCCTGCTGTGACCTCTGGAGTCTTCTAGTCGCTTCCAGAGGGCGGGGCTGGGAGGCACTCTGTCCATTCACATTCCTGGTGCCCTGGCAGAGTTCCCTCGTGGATAGAGGAGAACCAGGATGGAAGCTGGCCTGAGGCCCAGGCAGAATGCACAACAGAGACACCGGACCAGCCTGGGAATTCGGGCTAAAGTGGAGAGGATGCGGTGCTGACCTCCAACCACCCCTAGAACGTGGAACTAACAACTGCCCTTTTTTTCCACTAAGACACAGAGAGACACACCCTTCAACCTCTGCACTGCCTGCCCCCAGCCTGTGTCACTGACCCCGGGGCCGTGTCCCCAAGCCCCATGGCCTTTGCACAGCCTGGGATGAGACCCCACCCCCACTCCCACCACTCTGCATGGCCAGGCTAAAGTCACGCATCAGTCCGGAGCTCAGGTCAGCACCACGGCCCCCAGCCTCCAACCACACATCCCCATCACCTGTGTGTGTCTCCTCACGGTCACGCCCTCCAGGCTGGGGGCTTGCAGAGCACGGGGACTGTGGGTTACATCTCTCCCTCCCCCTGGGGGCAAACGTGGTATCCAGGACGCAGTGGATGCTTCACGCACACTGTCCAGGGACCCTGGGGCATTGGCAGCGGAGGACCCAGCTCTGGACCACCTCCTGTGAGATGGAACGAGTCATTTCTCAGCTCTGCACGATGGAGGCTGTGGTGGTGAGGATGGTCCAAGGGCATGCAGGAACACAAAATTACAGCTGCTTATGGAGCAATGGATGAGAAAGATCTGCAGACTAGCAGGAAAGGTCTCCTACAACTCAAGATACAAAGAAGCAACACAGTGACATGGGAGGAGCGCAGAGAGGCAGGGCAGTCACCCCAGGCGGGTGGGCCACAAATGGGAGCTTAATTACAAAGGCAGAGCGAGGGATCTGAGTCCTACAACTGGCTCCCATCCCAGGGACCCTGTGCCGGGGAGAAAAGCCCCAAACATTTGGCTCTGAAAGCCAGTGGGGCTTCCTTTCCGAGGGCAGGGGAGAGCAGAGAGTCCACGCTTTTTTTTAAATTGAAGTATAGTTGATCTGGGGGCTTTCCTGGTGGCTCAGACAGTAAAGAATCTGCCTGCAATGCAGGAGACCCAGGTTCGATCCCCGGTTGGGAAGATCCCCATGATCTTCCCACTCCAGAGGAATGGGAATGGCTACCCACGCCAGCGTTCTTGCCTAGACAATTCCATGGACAGAGGAGCCTGGCAGACACGACTAAGCGACCGACACTTTCACTTCTCATAGTTGATTTACACTGTTGTGGCAATCTCCGCTACACAGCAAAGTGACTCAGTTATATACATACATGCATTCTTTTTGTATGCAGTAGGACCTTGCTGTTTATCCGTTCTAAATGGGATAGTTTGCATCTACTAACCCCAAGCTCCCAGTGCATCCTTCTGTCTCCCCATTCCCCCTTGGCAACCACAGGTGTGTTCTCTATGTCTGTGGAGACTCCACTCTTAGAGGTCACAGACCGAATCTCACACACTCCGGGACCCAGGGCAGAAGCAGTCATTTGAAAGAAGCCTGAGTCCCACCCACCTGCTGATGCTGGAGAGCCTCCCAGAGAGGCAGGAGGTGACTGTCTCGCCCTGGGACATAGATGCTGGTGGAGCCATTCTGGGGAGCTCATTCTCCCATGAGGATGCTGGTGCTGGCAAGTGCGTTGTAGAATCCTCCCTCCAGCCAGTTAATGCCAGAACTCAGAACCACCCAGCAGCAAGCTGGAAGCAGCACTGGGGTGTCTCAGGCCAAGAAACTAGCCAGTCAAAGACCCTGTGCCACCCACTCGCAGGCCTGCTGCCTTGAGACCCCTGGGCTCACTGCCCTGGGACCCGGCCCTCCACACCACCATGCTGGCACTACCCTGGAACACCCGGGGCCCTGCAGCCAGCCTTCAGGACCCCGCCCCACCTACCAGTAGGCCTGCATCACTCTGGGACACCCAGGGCCCACAGTTAGAGACCCCAGGACCTAGCTTCCTCCACCAGTAGACCAACAGCAGCTCTGAGACCCTGGATCTTGTAGTCAGAAACCCCAGGACCTGTCTCTGCCAGCCAGCTCACAGCTTCCTGGACTGGTTTTCTCCTTTTGCCCCCAGGCAGGCCCCCTCCCTACCTGAGGCGGGAGATAGATGGGCCCCAGTGTGAGCAGCTGGAGTCTGTCCCCTGCAGACAGATCCTCCTAGATGAAGATAAGAGCAGGATCAAGAGAGGAGCTGAGCCCTGCCCAGATAAAAGATGAAAGACCATGTATTCATCACTCTCTATGTCTTTCAAGACTATACATGCTCAGAAAGTTATCTTAAGAGATCCAAAAAGGAGGGGCTTGCCACCTATTAATAAGTGATGTTAACCTACCCATAGGCCTCTTCTCTAGAATCCATCCTGGCTAAGAGATGCTCACACAGGGGAGAACCCTGAGATAAACCAAATATGGGTTTCAGTTCAGTTCAGTCGCTCAGTCGTGTCTGACTCTTTGCAACCCTATGAATCGCAGCACTCCAGGCCTCCCTGTCCATGACCAGCTCCCAGAGTTTACTCAAACTCATGTCCATTGAGTCGGTGATGCCATCCAGCCATCTCATCCTCTGTCATCCCCTTCTCCTCCTGCCCCCAATCCCTCCCAGCATCAGGGTCTTTTCCAATGAGTCAACTCTTTGCATGAGGTGGCCGAACTATTGGAATTACAGCTTCAGCATCAATCCTTCCAACAAACACCCAGGACTGATTTCCTTTAGGATGGACTGGTTGGATCTCCTTGTAGTCCAAGGGACTCTCAAGAGTCTTCTCCAACACTGCAGTTCAAAAGCATCAATTTTTTGGCGCTCAGCTTTCTTCACAGTCCAACTCTCACATCCATACATGACCACTGGAAAAATATGGGCTTAGAACCAGGCAAAGCAAAACGACTGGCCAGAGGAAACCTGGAAAAAGTGCCCCACGTGAGTGATGCAAACCACCACAAGGGCGCGATTTTCTGAGTCTGCCACATGTACAGTTTTCCTCCTAACAAACACTTGACTTGTGTCACCGCTTTCTGTCTATGTGGAAATTCATTTCTACAGAGGTGATGGGCCAGGGCCTTGACACTGGCCACTGTCCTTGGTGGTCTAAGGGCTAGGATTCAGGGCTCTCACTGCCGTGACCTGACTTCAATCTCTGGACAGGAAGCAAAACCGGCTTCAAGCCGTTGCAGGCCGAGGCCGCCTGAGATCACACCTTCTCCCCGGCCCTTTGCTCTGGGCAGCAGAGCAGGCTGATCATCAGGGGCTGGCAGTCACTCTTCCATGCCCTTGGCCTCCAGGCAGGTTTGCCTACAGAGGTGCCTGTGGGACTATGTGGGGCAACGACAGAGAGACAGCTGTAGACTCCCCTGGCTCCTCCCTGCCAGCCCAGGTCCAGGCAGAAGCTGGGGTCCTATGTGGCCGTGGCTCCTGTTGGTGGTCCTGGCACCTCCGGCCCTAGCTGGCATCTTAGCCCTGCCCTCAGTCCTGTCGGAGCCTCTCTGTAGTTAATCCACAGAAGGTCCTCTGTTTTAGCCAGTCCCTAGTTGACCCACCTCCATACTTCTGAATAATATCTGACTAGACTTGGTCTGATTTCATGCCTCTTCTTGACCCCAGCCTGGCTGCATCTCCTAGGACCAAACTTGTTACCATTTCTGCTGGAGACACTGAAAGGTAGCTGTCTAAGAGGTTAATCCTATCTGGATCTATTACCAGATGGTGCAGCAGAAAAAATCAACAGATCTGAATTTGAATACTGTGTGACTTTGGGCAAGTCACTTAACCTCTCTGAATCTATTTCTTCTTTGTAAAATAAGGGTACTAGTACAACCTTCTTGGATTGTTGTGAAGATTAAGTGGATGAGCAACATGCCTGGCACATGGCAGATTATGGTGGCAGAACTCTGGGGAGTTTGGAATCCCGCTGACCCTCATGACCCCATGCCACCCCCACGCCCCCATGGGGAAAAGCAGACACTATGGTCCTCATCTCACAGAGAAAATGAGTCCAGGGTATGTTCATACAACAGTGAAGACCTGAATCAAGGGTTAGTACTCAGATCTCTCAACACTCAGGCGAGGGACCCTTTAGATATAGCACAAGGCTACTTCCAGAGCCTTTACGATGCTTTTGGATATTTATGGGTGAAAAGACAGGCTATCTGGGGTTGACTTTAAAATAGTCCAAGAAAACCCAAAAGAGTTGGGGGGAAGCAGAATAGATAAAACAAATTGTCGGTGAATGTCGTAGCTGATGGCAGATACTGGGCTCCATATGTGATTTTTTCCAAATTTAGGTACATTTGAAGTTTTCTGTAATAAAACATGGACATGATTTTGAGCCTTCTTTTTTTTTTTTTTTTGGCCATGCCACATAGCATGCGGGACCTTGGTTTCCTGATCAAGGATCACATCTGAGTCCCTTGCATTGGAAGCATGGAGTCTTAACCACTAAACTGCCAGTGAAGTTCCAATGAACTATCTTTAATGACTGATGAAAACAATAATGATAAAACAATCAGTGAGAAAGCAAGGTGTAGACCTGTGTAAACATTGCAATCCCAACTGTGTACGTGTGTGTCTGTGTGTATCTACCCACACATGTGTGAAAGTGTCAAGAATGAACAACAGCATTAATTTAACATGTTTGTCTCTGCATGATAGACTCATTATTTTTCTTATCAATATTTTCCAAGGTTTCTAAAATGAGCATGTACTATTGTATAATCAGAAAAACAGTCGATATGAAAATGCTTAAAATATGATTTTGCTAAACCAAGTGGCTGGGACAGGAGATACTGGGGGCATTGAGCTAACTGAGGGCAGAGAGGCTGGGGGGTCCCTGCGACTGCTTGGCCCCAGCCCTGGGAGAGGACGGGCAGCCGGACAGACACCTCGGGTCTTTCTTTCCTCTCCAACGAGTGGGTGCCAGTCCCAGAAGGCCCAGCCCTGCTTCATGCTGCTTGCCCTGGTCCTGACCGGCTGTGTTGGCTCTGCCCCAGGGCCAGGTGCTGGGGAGGTGAGCCAGATGTCAGAGCCCCAGCCACATCTGGGGAGGGCGGCTGAGAGGCACGCCGCCCAGGTCTCTGGGCCGGGATCTGGTTTCATCACCTGACCCCAGCACGGAGGGCCCCAGGGCCGGAGGGAGTGGCACCACACCCTTGTCCTCGCTGCACAAGGTCCTTTCTGAGGACCTCCCAGGTGCCAGGTCCAGCACACCACCTGCAGACGCAGCAACTGCAGGCCCGCTCTACAGATGGGGGAGCCGGGGCTCAGAGCGGCACCCCCCTGTTACCGTCCCCCAGGGCTTCCCCCTTGCCCTCAGGGTGGAACAGGGCCCCTTGCCTCTGGGTCCTGCCACGACCCCCCCTCCCACACTGTCACTGCGATATTCACAGTCTCCACCCACTGGGCGCACACACGACCCCAGGCCTATGCTTGGGATTTCCCCTCATTATGTTCACTCTCCTCTATTCCCACATTATCTTGTCTCTGTGGCAATGCCACCTCCTCCAGGAAGTGCCCCCCAACCCCGATAGGCTCAGACTTCTGGGGCAACTCCCAGCAAATCAATATTCCTCTTTACACAGCCCTAGTTGTGCTGTATTGATACTTTCACATCACTCGCCCCTACTGCCCCTGACCATGGACTCCCCGAGGTCAGGGAAGGGGTCAGGGCCATCACACAGAATCCTTCCTCCAGGAGGAAGCAGCCCCATGCGACCACGGGGTGAAGCTTGGGGTCCTGGGTCTGAATGCAACCTGCACAACTGTGCCCCGCATCCCTGGCCTGGGTCTTACTCGGCTGTAAGCGGGCCTGGCTCAGAGGCTTGTGTGAATGAACAAGTGAATGAGCGAGTGAACGTGTGGGTGTGAGGGAGAGAGTGGTCCAGGGTCTTCCAGTGGCAACAGCACAGCCAGGGCTCCACCCATGACTCAAGGGACTCCAGATCCCGTGTTTGCCACACCCTCTGCAGATGCGGCGAGCTTGCGGCACCTCCAGATACTGAGCCGAGGCTGGTCTAAAGGCCTGAGCCCTGCCGGGGCCTGACCAGGGTGGTCTCCGGGCCTCCCAGAGGATGAGGGGCTGCTGGACGTGGGGTCACACCAGCTGGCCAAGGCTGATGATCTCGTGGCAGTGAGGGTTGGGCCCGGTCAGGCTTGTGAAGCCCAGGCCTGGTCCCCGAGGGCACATGCAAGTTGAGAACCTGAGACTACCCTCTTCTTCGGAGGAGCCTTGGACCTCAGCGAGGGGACCCCCTCTCCCAGAAAGGTTGCCCCATGGAGGACACAAAACAAAGAAAAAGTCCAACATAAATCTCCTGGTGACCATCCAGTGTGCGAATCCATCAGGCGCCGGGGTGTAACACAATGAGCACCCTGCCTGCCCTGGGGTTAGCACAGGCTTTGAGGATGTTCGGGGGTGTCCTCCCTTCCCAGAAGTGGGGGTGACTCTAGACTCAGGCAGCAAGGTGTCCATTCTCCCCACAAAAGGTGCAGAGAATCTGAAGGGGCAGAGCAGGAAGTGGGGGTGCAGGGGATGGACCCAGACGGTGGGCAGCACTTACCCTGCAGAAATCAGGTTCACTCGAGGGCAGTGCTTAGAGGCAGGGAAGTAATAGAAAGAAAGAGATGGCTCTGGGGGCCACACAGAGCCCGGATCAAGCCCTGCTAGACCACTTCAGGGCTGGGTGACATTTACAGTTCACACAGCTTGTGTGGGTTTGTGAAAAGCGAGTGACGGTTAGATCCACTGGGAGAAATAACAGCAGGCGTGCATCTCAGATACACCCCACGAAGAAGACAGGCCACAAAGAGCACGGCCTAACTGATGATTCCGTTCATGCTCAATTCTAGAAGGCACAAACCAAGCTACAGGGAAAGAAAGCTGATCTCTAGGGGATGGGGCCTGGGAGGGAAGAGATTACAAACAGCAGGTCACAAGCAAACGATGGCAGATGATGGACATGTTCCTAACCCTGAACATGATAATAGCCCCATGAATGTGTTCCTAAGTTACAATTTTAATTGTACAGTTTATATCTGTGCAGACTGTTGTATGTCAATCACACCTCAATAAAACTGTTTAGAAAAAATCCCCCAACCTCAAAATTTTTTAAAAATCTCAGTGTCTTCCTCCTGGGAGCAAGTCACAGGGTTGAAGTGTCTTTGAAGGTCACTCATTTCTGTCTGGGTTAGTTCCCTGCCATTTTTACACTGTCAGGGCAATTCTTCCCTGATTCACTTGAATGCTCATCTATAGAGTTCTAACACAGCTCCTGGTCATTAGGCCGGGTTTGATCTCTGAAGGTGACCATGAAGTGGGGTCCTGCTTTTCTGGAAAGCAGCCCAGGGCAGCCCTGAACTTGGCCTGTGCTATGCTGTGCTTAGTCACTCAGTCGTGTCGGACCCTTTGCGACCCCGTGGACTGTAGCCCACCAGGCTCCTCTGTCCGTGGGGATTCTCCAGGCAAGAATACCGAAATGGGTCACGATTCCCTCCTCCAGGGGATCTTCCCAAGCCAGGGATCGAACCCAGGTCTCCCACAGTGCCGGCAGACTCCTTACCATCTGAGCCACCAGGGAAGTCCCTGGTGGGCTTGGCCCGGGGGCCCGGAAACAGAAGTGAGGTTGCCCACGTGGTTGTGTTCGGAGTCCTCGTCTGGGGGTGCTTGCTGGTCAGCAGGAGGAGGGGCATGTTTCAGAGCCCCCTCCCCAAGCTCGCTGCTGCTGAGATGGCTGCACCGTGGGCCTTTGAACCTCTTGCACCTGTGAGCAAGCACACTCGTCAGATTTAACTTTTTAATGTGATCCATTTTACTGAAGTATGGTGTTAGTTTCAGGTGTCCAGCAAAGTGATTCAGTTATTCATTTTCAGATACTTTTCCCTTTTAGGTTGTTACGATATGCCCAATACAGTCCCCTGTGCTAAACAGTAGGTCTTTGTTGGTCGTCTATCCCTTATCAGATTGATGACTGCTTTTCTTTTTAGCTCTGATTCATTTTTGTCAGTTACTCCTATTCTGAACTGTCATTGCAAGAAGTTCGAAATCAAAAAGTCCAGTAATGTGGATTTTGCTGAAAGAATTAGACTGAGTTTGTATCAGCATGTAGGATATTGTGTGTGTGTGTGTATGTGTGTGTATGTGTGCATGCACGCATGTTGGTGTGCACATTCACAGGCCACAAGCTGTGAACAATCATTCCTCAGCTGCAGCTGTCCCTCATGACCTTCTTGCTAGTTGGTATTTTCCATTCTTAGAAATGACTCTGAACCACTACAGTATTAAGAGAGAAATCAAGAAAGAAACTGGTGCTGAAGGAGGCATACAGAGCCACATCTGTCCACCGCCCTCCTCCCTGACCCGAGACCGCCCTTTGCACCCGCAGAGCCTCCAAGCCGGCTCCCTCCCTTCTTTTCCAACCCTGACTGACCTTTGCAAATCGCAAATCTGTGATGGCTTTCTGCTGCTTGCACGGTCTCCACTGGCTCCTCTGATGGCAGAACAAAGTCTGCGTGCCTCCTTATCACATATTTAATAAGGTTTCTGTGTCCAACATATATAAAGATTGCTTATAATTCAATAGTAAAAAGACAACCCAAACAAAAAATAGGCAAAACATTTGGGTGGATATTTCTCCAAAGCATATATAAAAATGACCAGTAAGAACATGATAAATGGCTCCATGGTATTCACCATTAGGGAAATGTAAATCAAAATGACACCGAGATAACACTTCACATCCACTAGATTGACTCTTAAAGGTGAATCATGACAAGTGAGGATGTTAGTGAGGATGGGCAGAAATTGGAACAATGTGGGTTATGTAAAATGTTGGTGGGAATGTAAAATGATATGGCTGCTGTGGGAAAAAAAAGTTTGGTGGTTCCTCCAAAGTTAAACATGCAAGTACAATGTGACCCAGAAATTCCACCTGTCTGTATATGCCCAAGAGAAATGATAGCATGCTCTCAAAGCATGTACATGAATAGTCACAGCAGCATTATTCGTAATAGCTAAAAAATGGAAGCAACACAAATGTCCATCAACTGATGGACAGAATGTGGTCTGTCCATGTGATGGAATACCTTTTATAGGATTGGAGTACTGATACATACTGCGACATGATGAACCTCGAAAATATGATGATAATGAAAGAATCCAGACAAAAAGGCCAACTACTGTGTAATCACATTTATAGGAAATATCTAGAATATGCAGATCCATGGAGACAGAAAGTGGATGCTTGTTTGCCAGGGGCTGGAGTGGGAGAAGGAATGGGAATGACTGCTTAATAGGTAGGAGGTGTCTCTTAGAGTGATGAAAATGCTCTGGAGTCAGAGGGTGATGAAGGCCACACAACACTGCGGATGGACTAAACCCGCTGGATGACACACTTTTCACAGCTTGAAATGGCGAGTTGTATGTGGGACATTTCCTCAGCAAAGTATTGCTGTGAAAGTCGCTTAGTCCTGTCCAACTCTTTGCTACCCCATGGACTATACAGTCCATGGAATTCTCCAGGCCAGAATACTGGAGTAGGCAGCTGTTCCCTTCTCCAGGGGATCTTCCCAACCCAGGGATCGAACCCAGGTGTCCCGCATTGCAGGTGGATTCTTTAGCAGCTGAGCCACAAAGAAAGCCCCAGAATACTGGAGTGGGTTGCCTATCCCTTCTCCAGCAGATCTTCCCAGTCCAGGAATAGAACCAGGATCCCCTGCATTGCAGGTGAATTCTTTACCAACTGAACTATCAGGGAAACCCAATGATTAACAAATCCTGAGAATGCATATATTAGCCTGAATCCTGCCCACATCAAGTTCCTCCACCTTTACAGAGGTTTTCCCAACTTGGTCCGCTCCTGGTGATCTCACTCTCTTCCGAACTTTCATGAAATCTACTGAAAAGATTGGTGATTTGACTCATCCTACACTACCTACCATTCTTTATTTCTTTGTTTATTCTTCATTATTTACATTTATTTCACTATCTCTCAATATTTATACTAGATTTATATCTATTATACAACCTTTCCAATAAAAATATGAATTAATGAATTAAAAAAACAAAGAATACCATCAAGTATAGAAAGTCAGGGCCTGAGGATTAGTGGAGAGGGCACGGAAGTCACTGGAACTCAACCCAGAGCAGGGACAAGCCCATGTCAGGGAATAAGTCTGTACCCGTACCCCTCCACGAGCACAGTCATACCCACATGGGCCCTCGGCTCCCAGGGGACCGGTGAGTGATGATGCTGGGGCAGTCAGCTACTCATATTAAAAAATGGCTACATTCCAACCTCCCACCATCCACAAAATTAAATCAGATACACAAAAGAGATAAATAAGGAAGATGAAGCTTCTAAACCCGGAGAAGAAAACACTGGAGCCTGTGTTTGTGTTCTTGTAGGAGGGAAGGCTTTGGCCAGGAAAGTATAGCAAGCAAAACTCACAAAGAAAAGATGGACACGCTGCCCTAAATCAGAATGGAAATCTCTGCATGAACGGAATCAGGAGGTACAAATTTCCTAAAATAAGACTAACACGGGGATACACTCTACCAACCACATGGTGACTACAGTTAAAACACTGTCCAATGCTTGAAATATCTGAAAGTACCCAGGAGGACGGACCTTAAAAATACTCATCTCAAGAAAAGAATTGTAACTATGTGTGGTGATGCATGTTAACTGGACTTAATTTTCTTAATTGAATTATAGCTGATTTACAGTGTTGTGTTAATTTCAGGTATTTAGCAAAGTGAATCTGATGTATATATTTTTCCAGATTCTTTTCCCCTATGGGTTGTCACAAAACATTGAGTTAACTGGACTTATTGTGGCTATCATTTTGCAGTATTTACAAATATTGATCCATCATGTTATAAACCTGAAGTTAATATAATGTCTCAATTATACCTCAAGAAAATATTGAAATTTCTATGTGCCAAAAAAAATCACCATAACCAAAGTTTAATAACCGTGTGAAAAAATAAAAAGACTAGGAGGAAATAGTTTATATATATATAAATATATACATATATATTTACAATAATATATTTATATAAATAAATATTTATTTATATACAAATAAATGTATGTTATATAATATATACTTAAATATATAAAAATATATATATATATATATAAATATCCAGAACATGTGAAGAACTCCTACAAATCAACAACAGTAATAGAAGACCAAGAACCCAATAGAAATGGAAAAAGAATGTGAATATCAATTAGCAAAATATAAAATCCACATGGTCAATAAACATTGGACAAAAAAGTTGGCCTCACTAACAATCAGGGAAATGTAAGCGAATACCCCAAGACAATACTGTTTCTCTTTCGTGAGCTGGGCAGAAATTAGAAAGTTCGAGCACCTCAGAATGGAGAGGATATGAAAGTGGATATTCGAATGCCTGCTGTGGGTTGTATAAACAGATGTAATCATGTCGAAAGGCAATTTGACAACACGAATTTCAAATTTTAAATCTTGTATACCGTGACCTGATTATTTCATTTCTTGGTGTGTACCCATAAGAAAACTTGTACACACATACAAAGAGGCATATACAAACTTGGTTACTATAGCCTTCTTTAAAAGAGCAAAAACAAGAGACACAACCTAAATGCCACAGCTGGGGACAGGCCTAGTAAACTGTGATATCACCATACAATGAAATTATATGCTGCATTACCAATAATGAGGTTGTTCCTCTAACTTGACCAGATCGGGGCTCCAAAACAAACTATTGTTAGATAAAAAAGCAAGTCACAGAGTCATACCTTCAGCATCACACCATGTGTGAAAATACACCATTACCCACAACTATACTGCAACATGCTTTCGCAGACACTTGTATGTGTCAGGGCAGGGGTTTCCCCCAGGTAGGAGAGTGGGATTAGGCCTGGCCATCAACAAGGACCAGAGGTGATTTTTTTCATACTGATTCTATTTTTTCAAGTAGAATATATTTGTGTAATTTCAACATATGACAACATTGCAAGTCAATTACACTTCAATTAAAAAATAGATTAAACAAAAAAGAAAGATATGTAAAGATTTGGCCTGGAAAAGTTAAGATCAAATTATATTCTGGAAAAAGTTTAAGAATCTTAAGTTATTATAGATTTTTTTAAATGCTACACATTTATTAATAATGCCAAAAGTTAAAAAAAAACTAAACATATTGGCAAGGAGATGGAAGAACTGGAAGTCTCAAACTCTTCTGGTAGAAACACAAAAGGAAACAACCATCTTAGATCACAGTATGTGCTGATATGCTCAGTTGCTCAGTCGTGCCTGACTCTTTGTGACCCCATGGACTGCAGCCCAACAGGCTCCTCTGTCCGTGGAATTTTCCAGGCAAGAATGCTGGAGTGGATTACCACTTCTTTCTCCATAGGTTTTTTTTTTTTTTAAATAGATATCTGGGTGAGTACAGTGACTTGAAACTAGGAAAAATTTTTAAAAATTTTAAAAACATGAATTTAGACACATGGGACTATATTCTGTCAAGGCAGTCTGAGCGCAGGTTGGAAAAGAATTTCCAGACCCAGGGCATTTTAGAGGAGAGAATTTATTGAGAGCAAAGGGCCGAGGTAGTGAGGGGCACTGCCAAGACACGGGGCTGACTTCCTCGCAGACCAGGGAAGGTGGACTCCTCTTGAGAGTTAGTAGCCGATTTTTATTTTATTTTATTTTTTAGTTCTTCTCACCATTTATTTTTTTTTAGTAGCCAATTTTTATAGTTTCAAGACAAAAAGGAAATTCCTGCTGCAAGAACAGCACTAGACGATTAGCTAGTATGATAGAGGGTGAGTACCAGGGTGGGTATTTTCACCTAATACGGGGTCAGGAAACTGACCAGTAAGGATCAGGGGGACTTCTGGCAACGGTTATGAAGGGACTCAGTCAGTTCCCGAGGCAACCTTGGTTCTGGGCTTCACTGTCTGTGGCCTTGGTGCAAGGCCTCGCACCTGTGGCCTTGGTATGAGACGCCACATATTCAGTACCCTGTGATAAACCATAATGGAAAAGAATATTAAAAGGAATATATATCTATATATATATAACTGAACGACTTTGCTATATAGCAGAGATTAACACATTGTACATTGACTAGACTTCAATAAAATTAATTTTTAAAATTTTAAGTTAGAAAAAACGAATCAAAACCAGGAAAATATAAATAATGATATGAAGTCAGGGCTGTGGAAGAAAGGGAAATATCAAACCCAGATGCCAATGATATACGACTCTGAGAGACTGTGAAGAAGAGGGAAGTCTGGCGTGCCGCAGTCCACGGGGTCACAAAGAGTCGGACGTGACTGAGCGACTGAACAAGTGACCTATGAAATTGCCATAGTTGAAGTTGGTATTTAGTTCTGAGCTTCCTGACAACCCAGGGGAAAGTGGTTACATAATCAACCTCTGATTGTCAGAAAGCAGAAACCTGGTTAGAAATTTTCTCGTGTGGTAGATTTTAGCTTTCTAACCACAACGGAGAGCCACAAGTTCAACCTCTTGGTAACTTCAGGGCCATGCAGGGGGTTGAGCACCCACTGGCCTGCCCTGCAAGTCTTTTTAGGGTTGTGACCACTCTGGTAAGTGTGGGATGCTTACCAGGGTGGAACAAAGCATCATGGTCCTTCAGGATGAAGCAGAACTCCAGAATTCCACCACCCACTGTTGGTTAAAGTTTGGTTACATCACTAGGATCCTGACCCCAGAGGCATAACTGTGACCTGTGGTCCAACCAGAATCCAAGGTCAAGCCATGGATTGACCATGGGTAAGCCATCCTTTAGTTTGTATCTCCTTCCGATCATCCCTTACCATCAGTGGTGATTTATAGAAATCCTACGGAACTTGTTTATACAGGGTTTGGGATCATGTTTGCATCCTTAATTCAGTGGTACAGAGCTCAGAGAAGTGAAGCAATTTCCCCCCACGTCACAGGTGACTGGCCTCAGAATGAAGAGTATAAGTCCAGTATCCTGGCTCTTTCCACTGCCCAATCCACCCTGCATGCCAGATTCAACTGTAAACTGAGAATGTGATATGTCAGAAAAATCAGAAGAAATCCTATGACCAAGAGTGTGTTTCTTTTTTTTTCTCCCTTGGCCATGCTGCACGGCATGCAGGATCTTATTTCCCCAACTAGGGATCAAACCTGTGCCCCCTGCTGGAGAAGCACTCTGTCTTAACCATTGGACCTCCAGGAAAGTCCTGAGAGTGTGTTTTCCTTCACACTCAACACTTAGCAGGGAAAACACTTGTTCCAGGTTGAGATTTTCAGGTTGAGTGGAATTGAATTTTGGAAATGACCAATAGCATCCAAAGCCTGGTCTGAGAGATGACATGCATAATCAATTATAGCTTGCTATTTATTTTTACCCTGCTCTCTTTGAAAGGGATTTCTGTTGATATTTTAAAAGTGTGAAACAAGAAAATAAAAATAAATGATGAAAGAAGAAAATAAAAATTTAAACTGAAACAAAGCCAGTTTGCTTGCACCATAGTGCTAGAAGAGGGCCATAAGTGTGATCCTGAGCTTCTTTGTGGCCAAAGCAAAGAGTGAAAATGGTCAGCTTCAAGGTGCTCGTGTTATGTAAGTTATTAACAAGTGGACTGTCAGATGCATAGGCTTTCCTGAGTATAGAGATCTGAAGCCAATGTCTTTTGTGGTTCCCAATAAACCTGATCTCCTGGGACAAGAGAATAGTGTCCTGACCACATCCCTACAACAGTGAGTTTCTGTGCGTGTGTGCTAAGATGCTTCGGTCATATCTGACTCTTTGCGACGCTATGGACTATAGCCAGCCAGCCTCCTCTGGTCTCTGGTCATGGGATTCTCCAGGTATGAACACTGGAGTGGCTTGCCATGCCCTCCTCCAGGGGATCTTCCCAACCCAGGGATTGAACCTGAGTCTCTTACATCTCCTGTGTTGGCAGGAGGGTCCGTTACCATTAGCACCAGCTGTAGTTCCTTTTTAAAACAGCATCTTCAGGACTTCCCTGGTGGTCCAGCTGCATGACTCTGCGCTTCCAGTGCAGGGGGCTTAGGTTCACTCACTAGTCGGGTAACTAAGATCCCACATGCTACAATTAAGAGTTCTATGGCCACACCTGAAAGATCCTGCTTGCCTCAACTGAGACCCGGGGCAGTCAAATAAATAAATATCAAAAATTAAAATAAAGCAACATCTTC